GGGGGGGCCTTCTGTGTTCTAGTGAGTGGCCGTGGTGTTCCTACAGTACTTTTGAAATGTATTCAGTTTGGGTGAAACACTCTGACAACCTTCTTATGTGCTGAGTGTGAGCAGGGTCAACTGTCATGTTTCTCACTCCTTCATGACGAAGAATTTCGTTGAGTTTCCAGAGACTGTGAATGAATACAACCCACATATACTTTACATAAGTACTTTTATTTAGAACAATTTGTTATAACTACATCATCGTACAAAATTTAATAAAGAATAGATCCTATAAATTTTATGGCTTACATCAAACATAATTGAGTACACTGTAAACATTTTTTTGAATCTTTTAAATTTTACGACAAGACATCTGAAATATGCAATGAATGAGAGAGGGCTGAAGTTCAAAGATTTCAGTATCTAAAATTTTAAAGGCTAGCACAACATTCCATTTTTTAAGGGGCAGAAGGAGACAGCCTTGGCCCTTGTACCCCTCAGAAGTTAAGTAAGAACCTAACACTAGTTGATAAGACACGTACATATAGATGTAGTAGGTGTAGAATAAACGGACCTCACTTTATATCTCAATTTTAATGAACAAAAAATCTTCAATAACTGAGATAGAAATTGAGATTAGAAGCATAATGATTCAATTAAGTAAGCAAAAGGAACAAGCCTTGACAAATTTTTATAAAATACTTCAAAAATAAGAATTTGTTTGTTGGAATTGTTAAAAAAAGACAGTTTAAGAGTAGTTAAACAAACACTCAAAATTTGCCAATAGATAAATAATAGCTACCCGTAAACATGCCACCTGAAATTCAACTCATAGTCCATGTCAGAAGAAAAAGTAAATTAAAATGGAGGTTCCTAATACTGTCATGATAGACACTCAAACTGATTGCCAGACCATTGGATGACATATTTGTAAGCTGAGGATAAAAATATCTAAGTTTAGATAGATGAATGCTGACCAGCTACAAGATGGTTCCTCAGTGAAAAGGCACACAGGACTATATGAACAAAGTATTACTGTTAGTTCTTCTAAATATTATTATGTGACTGTTAGTCCTGCCTTAACGCTCATAGATGTCATCCACACCACACAACAAACTTGTTAAAACTTCTTGCACAAAAACAATTTGATGAAATTATGAACATTAAAAAAACAAACTCGCAGTATTTACAAGTTTTCAGATCCAAAAAAATAAAAATCACTGTAAAACCTACACAAAACATTTCTTTTGCAAAACATGTACAGTTGATACTACATGATTTTGCTTTTCTTTATAAATACACAGTGATGCACAGTTCTATTTCAGTTTGAAGAAAAATCAAAGAAAGTCAAAAGTTATAAGATTATACACAATCTTAAGAGAAATTGCAAAGCAATTTGCAAACATCATGATTTTCAAACTCAGACTAGGAATTCATTCATGTTTGCTAAAAAGGCTAAAACACTGTAATCAGAAGAACTCTGTAATGAAAGGGCTATCAGACATGAATCTTTAACCACGGGAAGATACCATTCACAATGTATGAGATCAAAGAAAAATCTCAAATGAGCAAAAAGGACAAAGAAATTATAATGACTTAAGTCTTGAGATGGAAAGAAGCACAAACTCTTCAACATAGACTTTAGAGTTACCATTTTCTTTCAACGTCAGTGAGGTGTAAATTGAATTGACTAAGTGTTTTAAATACAGACATCTATAAGCCTACATTAAATCAGATTGTGGCAATATGAAAATACTCTTAACTAAAATAAGATATTTTTTTTTTTTTTGATTTAGAATCACCTCAAAATTGAGGTACATAAAATAGAGGGCTTTCAAGCTCTGTGCCAATTTTGATATAAATAATCAAAATGACAAAGAACTTAAAACATCTTAATCTACAACATGTTATCAGTCATAACATCAGAGCTGTTTGGAAGTGAAAAATATTTCTGATGTTTGGACTTCCATGCATTCTGACTTTATAAAAACAGAATTAAAAAATACTGCTACAGAAACCAGATCTTCTAATAAATAAACTTTTTCAAGTAATGTACATCTTAAATTGTACTACTATTCCAGTAGGCCTGGGCATGACTGGCTTTGGTATGTATGACTTCAAAACTTTTCTACACTTGTTTCATATGATCATTTCAGCTGTGCAGCATAAATGTGTTCGACATTATCAAAGTTTTGTGAAATCGAGAAGTGTTTGAGATTCCTACAACTCCATTGAAAGGCTTAATTTAAATTGGTAGAAGACTTGAAAGCAACAGACAGAGAAATTTTTTCAAAGCCATAAGTACTCAATGCATATGCAAAAAATGTACTACCTACTATTTTTGTAGGAAACCAAAACCAATATGTTTTATCACTAGAATTGCAATAGAAGATAATGGCAGGTGCTGCTGTATTGCAACATTATTTTCAAACAACTTCCAGTCAAACCATACCTGACACTATTCTTAGTCATTTATTAAATTAAAACCATTGAAATGAGCTTCGTGCCAATCATTCAGGTACAGTCAATATAGTTAAAATTTTGCCAAAAAAAAATTAAATTGCTTGTACAGCTGAGAACAGAGCTGTTGATCCCTCTACATTAAACCTTGAAGAGCTATAATCAACATCTTCCGGACATGTTTCCCAACAGTAGAAACCACTGTCATAATTGCTTTCACTATTGTCATTGTTAGTAGTAGAGGCAGGTGTTGGGGTGAATGAATAGGACTGAAGGAGCATCTTGGCTGAAGGACGCAAGTCAGAATGAACTTGGAGACAGTCAAGGGCAAGTTGTCTTGCAGCTCCTTGAAGAGAATCAGGCATACGAGGAGGATCTCTACTACATGCAATCTGCAAAGACAAACATAGAATTATTAACGTTTCAGAATAAGTAAGAGATTGAGAGTGTTGCATTGCTTTCCTTACCTTGTACATAAGAGCAAGGTGATTTGATGCATTGCTTTCTCTCCAGGGAGGTCTCGTTGTTGCCATCTCTATCATACAGCACCCAACACTCCAAATGTCACATGAGCGTCCATAGTCTTCACCTCGCAGAACTTCTGGGGCCATAAAGGCAATAGTACCTAAAAGTTGCCCTTGAAATTCTCCAGAGAGAGTACGTGCTGCTTGCAGTTGAGCTGCCGTACCCAAATCTCCAATTCTGAGGTGTTTACCTGTACTATCCACAAGAAGATTTGCACCTGGAAAAAAAGGAGGGTCAAATAATAATGAAATTGAACAATCTCAATAGTCAAGAAAGAATATACAGTACACACAGAACTGTAAATACCTTTAAGGTCGCGATGCAAAATGTGCTTGTGGTGCAAGTAGCTCAAACCATTGAGGACTTGTTGGGTGTAATTTAAAATGACTCGTTCACTAAATGCTCCATATCTCTCAAGAAGACCAGATACAGATCCACCAGCCATCCATTCAACAAACATGCTAAAATGTGTAGATTGCTTTGTAGCCCCAATCATTCGTACAATGTTTTCATGACGTAAGGTCTTCAGGACTTCCAGTTCCTGCCGTACAGTATTTTCAACTCTGTCCTGCTCTTCAACAGAATTGCGACAAAATGACACCTGTTCAAGATTAGGATTTGGTTATAAAACTGCAGTTAGACCTAAAATAAATTTTAATGAAAGAAAAAAGGATACAAACCTGTTTAACTGCCATAAGAGTCCCACTTGTTATATCCCATGCTTGATAACAGGAACTGAATGCACCTCTTCCTAGGATAGGTCCTCTTACCCAATCATCTCCTTCTCTATATTGGTCACTATACTCCACAACATTGTTCTCTTTTTTGTTCAATCCCTCCATATTCTGTTAATAAAAAGATAAATCAAAATACAAAATTTATCTGTAACAAATAAAATAAAAGTATAAAATGAGAGCCAACCTTTTCATGAGGGAAGAATGCGGAATGCAAGTCTCTATATTGTGTACCACCACTGCTGTCAAAGTAATCAGAATTATCAAAGATCAATGGCACAACAATTTCTTCATCCTGTTCTTTATCTACAAGACTTTTTTCTGCTGGCGGGTGGTACAAAACAATGCTGGGATTTGCTTCCAAAGTTCCTTTCACAGGTGTACAATTTGGAGCTGACGGTGTGGCCGCTTTTGAAGGCTTTGCCCACAAGTTAGCTTCAGGGCAACAATCCTCCAGTCTAAAGTTAGGACAGAAATTTTAGAATGCCTTTCGAAATAACAGTTATAGCAGATTTGCACTGAAGACTATATCATAATAATACTCACAGACGACGTTCTAGAGAAGGTGCTACTGCAACTTCAGAGGCAGGGGATCCAACTATACATGCTGGCTTAGTTGGTAGAAGGGATATGTCATCAGTTTTGCTATTCTTCCTAAATAAATTGACCAATCGAGATCCTGAGGCTGAGGGTGTTTGTGTAGGGCCTGAACGTTTATGACTAACACCGCTTAACAAAGGTGGTGTAGGACTATGTGCACTTGATGATACTCCAATGCCAGGCAAATGTTGAAATTTGACAGGCCGCCGAGTTCTGGTTCTGCTAAGATCCAAATCTTTGGGTCTAGGAGGAGAGGTTGGAGTTGGTGCTAGCCGTAATGGTTTTGGAGGAAGTGATGGAGAATTTCCTTGGAACGAGTTTGATCTTGCTGGAGAGACATCAGACTTCAGTGGTGGTGCTTTTCGGGCCATTTGTGGAGTAGTTGTGGGAGTTGCTAAAAATTATAATTGAAAATATAAGATATATATTATCCAATACTTAAATCCGAAAATAATTTAATTCTATTAATATTAAACAATAAAGAGCTGCTCATACCATCTTTTTTGCCTGCATCACAGACAGGAGATTGTGCAGCAGGTTGTTGTAGCATTTTACGAAGCCTTGCTTGCAATGTAGGTTCTAATGTGTTGATTAACTGACATGCTCTCTGAATAGGCATTGGGTATGATACATCCATTGCGATATTAATAAGGCTAACAAATAGAAGTCTTGCTAATCTGTTGACAGTTACATGAGGACTACGGAGTGCATTTGCACAAAATTCTAGCATACTGACTAGCCTTTGACCACCAGTACCCACTACAAAATCAGACACAAAAATACAACTTGTTAGACACTATTATTAATAATATTATTATTATAACAAAGGTATTTTAGTTGCCACTTACATATTGGTGAATGGCTAGGGTGAGGAGATGTGAAGTCGCTTTGGAAAGTGTGAAGAAGGCGTTCTAGCATGACAAGCCTTCCTGCCAATGACTGCCAGTTGCTGCTTGATACCTCACCTACACCTTCTTCTAAAATGCAGCTAAGGACCAGATTAAGATTACGCCCTTCGTCCATTGAATATGATGAGCTACAAAAAAATAATTGCAGTTAGATTAAAAATGTTGCTTTTAAATGTACGTAAACATAAGGAAAAAGAAGGGGGGAGGACTCACCTTAATTGTGAGCCTATGGCAAGGTCTCCTTCTTGACCTTTTGCTAATTCCAGCAAGACATCTATACTTAGTTGAGATGTCCTCCTATTGCAGTCAGCACATTTTAACAATAAAGCTCTGACAATAGGTCGTACTAATCGTTGTAGCTCATCAGCATCACCACTTGCTCCACGACATCTTGCATGATTAAGCATTACTTGAAGACACCGCTGCAAAGTAGAGAAAAAGGTTTCAGACGAGCTCTTGGTTCTGGTTAGCATGAAATTTATGAATAAAAATGATAACTTACCACCCATGCTTCATACACTTTATAGACTGGGTCTGCTGCAAAAACAGCCATTATTCTAGCACAGCATGACAAGACACGTTGCTGGTATTCTTCATTGTCAGATAAGTGTGCAACAGAAACATCACTTTTAAGACGCCGGAAGGCTATTTCTCGTGCTTTCCAATCTCTTGAATAGAGACAACATATAAGGTCCACACCAAACACCTAAATAGAATACAAAGAATTAAATCATGGTCTTGTACAATTCAAATAATTTAAAAAAAGAATCTTTGTTCTGTTTTTAAAAATAGAAATCTTACCTTGATCCATTCTCCAGCAATACCTAGTTGTTCAGGAGGAATAGCCTCAGTGTGTGGCAGAGTGACATCTTCAGTTAAACAGGAACAAACAGATGAAGAGGAAAGGGATGGCTGCATGGAGCGATGGGTAGTCTGAGATGATGCTGACATGCCATTGCCTGTGCTCCCTCGCCTCTCATAGCTTGCCCTGGAAGGATGGCTGCAGTTGCTGATGCTTTTTCTTCCTGATTTTACTGGTGATGAGGCGACAGAGTGAGCTCTCACGTTGTGGTGTGTGTGATTGCTGCTAATAGAGTGGGTTGACATGGACGACATAGAGGGTGGACCAAAAGACATTTCACTTAAATAGGAGGCAGTCTTTTCATGGGCAGTGTGTATAGAGTTGCAGCTTGAGGAGTTCTGAGGAGAATTACTCCAAAGATGCTGAGATGAATGGGGTCTGGTGGGGGACATGGGAAGGACAGCCATTGCCGTATCTCCCTCCCATACTTGTCGGCACAGAGGGCAAAGCACTGGTTCTCCTTGATGAGAGCACTCTAGGGCCCCTGAAAGAAGAACAAGAAAAAGAGAGTTAATACAAGAAATTAAACAAAATAATAAAAAAAAGTACTTCTTCAGAAGCATAAGACTTTGTCTTTACTTACAAATTGCCATACAATGATGATGAAGTCGATTTCTACAGCCAGTATTGCAAGTCACTAAGCTTTCGCCATCCACCATATCAAGAAGACATATAGGACACAGATCTTCTTCATTCTTAATATTATTAGATGAAAGAATTGAGGTAGAGTGAACATCATTTCCAGTGTGCAAACGACTATCCTGTGTATTGGCACATGAAGGACTATTGCTGCCAAAGCCACTGCTCGCATTGCTTCCAATACTACTGGGTCCAGATTCATTACGAGAATCGTGGGATTGTGAAGGTAAGCTCATAGAGTTGTTGACTCGTAAAGTCAGCCGTTCCCTATATTTTTGGAACAAACTCTCCACCTAGAAAGTTAAAAAGTTGTAGGTGATACATTAATCCATGCACAATAGAAAAAACTTGTTTTCTTTTACTGTAGAGTAAAAAAAGAGGAATTACCTCAAAGTTCTTGAGCTCTCGAGCATATATTCTGGCATCGAGTTCAGGGATTTGGAACACACGCAACATTACAAAGAGCAGATGTAGGCAGTGGGGTCCTCTGCCGCAGCTGCAGGTCTGCACAGAAAATATAAGTCAGACGACAGTGGTCGTTACTAGAGATGCAGAGGCCGTGGTGCGTCGTCTACCCCCCACCCACCTGCGGCCCGATGACCACCCTGTACTTGTGCTCGGGGGAGTCCCCGCCGACCAGGAACGAGTTGGGGCCGGGCTGCTGTAGGAGGTAGAGCCTGGCCTGCTGCACGCGGCGCACCCGCCTGCGCACCGCCTCCAGCACGGCGGGGTCCAGCGCGCTGGGGCTGGCCGCGCGCCGCCCCCCGCCGCCCGCGCCGCCCGCGCCGCCCCCGGGGCTGGCCGCGCGCCGCGAGCCCCCGCTGCAGGTGCTGCTGGGACTCGACGGACGCTGCAATCAAAAGCAAAAATGAAATGTTAAAAAAAAATTATTAGCAAAAGAAGTGATAAAATTGTTTTTCCTCACTCTGCTACTTCTTCTTATCAACAGCTCCATACTCACCGATCTCGTTAGACTAGGCGACCGTTTGCGATTGCGGCACCCCGAGTCGGAGGACAGCGGAAGCGACGGCGGTGTCCGCGACCTTCCTTTGGGGGCGGCGGCGATCGCCACCATCTGGGTCTGCGTCACGGAGGGGAAGGGTGAGACATGGAGATGCGCGGCCCTGAAGCTCGATCCAATCTCAAGACTAGCGATTTTAATTTTTCAGAAACACATTCTTGGGATTTTTTTTTTTCAAGAACTTTAAAAAATGTCTGAATGTTTTACTTAGAAATTTGATTTATTTTAATATTTTTCTGGAAATACTTC